ATACTAGCAGACCCCGCCACGCGTTGTTGTGGCTCAAAATGTATCTATTATAAATTTATAACACTTCCCCCGTGGGGGGGAATTTTTCGAGAAATTTCTTCTTAGTGTACATTCTCTTGATGTACCCTATTAAAACGCAATCAAAAACGCAAAAACCCACATCTAAAATAGTATCATAGAAGCCAAGTTATTCACGGTAAGCCTTAATCCTGTCTCTCTCTCCCGCGGGAAAATATCGAAAAATTTGTTGTTAGTGTACATTCTGTTGACATACTCTATTAAAACGCAAAAACCAGCATCTAAAATAGTATAAATAGAAGCAGAGTTCTTTACCGTAAGCCTGAATCCCAATTATTTCCCTTCAGTGGGGTTGAATTTCGACACGTATATTATATAAAAACACATCCGTATTCGAATGCAGCGTTGTGTCAAAATTTCAAAGGAATCGGTAGGAACAAACGAACATTACATTTTTATTCATATAAATAGATAGAAGATGGTCTGTTTTAGTTCATTTTCACAGAAAAGCAAACTTAGGGCGTCGTACTCGTAGCGCCATCTGTTGGACATAAAAGCCTTAACCTAGATTATATATTTTAATTTATATGAATGTTTAACGGAATAATATACAGCCTATGTCCACCCTGAAGTTCCATTCTAAATATTGGTGAAAGAATTTTTGAAATCGGATGAGTAGTTTCGGAGATTACCTGCTGCATACAAACTTACATACAGTACTTACAAACATTGCCTCTTTATAATATTAGTATAGATTAAGGGACAACTGGTAATGTTTTTACTTCATAAATTTTCAGTGTTGTTATATGTTACTTGTTCGAAAACAATAGAAACTAAGGAATATATTTCGGTGTTAATGTTACCTGAACTTCAAATGTTTACATAACAGTGAGTTATTCATTAGGGTACAAGGAATATTTTTAATATTCAAATGTATTCTGTGTAGAGCTAATGTTTTCACACGCATTTTAAATGAGAAGAAACCATTCATGCATAATTTATCCATTCATTATTATCGTTAACCATCTGCACTGATTACGTTTTCTTTAGAATCATGTTTCTATTGATGCAACTATAGTTAGCGATAGAAATTTAAAACATTAATAAGAATTAAATTTAATCAGTGTAAGGCTACTTAAATATTTTCAAATCAATTTCATCTATTTATTTAATAGACGAAGTGATATAAATAGTACTAAATATTTCATGAAAATTCAAATATATTTCTGAACTATGATTAAATTAAAAATTAATTTTAATAAAAATAAAAAATTGAAATAGGTTTTAAAGAATATGTTGAATAAAAGAATTTTGGTTTGTGAATTGAACTGATTAGTTATTTAATCGTGGAAACTGTAATAAAAATTAATAGCTCTGCCTTTAATTTCTGTAGTGTTTGTATAAATTTTTGAAAAGTTTCTGTTATTGTATTCGCTTGCATTTATATTCCCAATGATTTAATTTTATAAAGTTCCTATTATGAATGAAATATATCGTTTTTATACATTTATATACTTAAAAATGTTAATTTTTATTAAAATATATGAATAAAATATACTAAGCTTCAAAATTGTCTTCGGGTTCCATCGTTACAAACACCAGCGACTTCAAAAACAATTTTCAATTATGGAGATAACCTTTTATTTGAGGCTGCGCCCCCGCAATAAAATGCAAAATTGATAAAAACATTCTCTGTGAATACTATAATTCACAAAAAAGTTCATTAAAATCACGAAGACAATTTTGTAGATTCAGTAAATTTATTTATATATTTTAGTGTAAATATCGTCGGCTAAGATTTGATTTTAACAAACCTTAATTTTTGTTTAAAACGTTATCAATGACCTGCAGCGGCGGCCTTATCCATTGCGAGGCTCTGGGCGGCAGATCTTTGCGAGGCCCTGGGCGGCAGATTTTTGTGAGGCCCTTATCCTTTGTGCAAAGTATGTGAATTGAAATAGTAGGCACTTATTAATATTAATATATACTGTACTATAAATTAAATTTATTTTATTGTTATAACTAATAGCCAAGGATAAAATAAAAAGTTTTAAATATCAACTTTTTTCTACTTGGTTGTTGCGCGAGGCCCCTCCAAGAGTGAGGCCCCGGGCGATTGCCCTGCTCGCCACCCCCTAAGGCCGCCACTGATGACCTATGTGGCATAAATATTTTGTGATTCCACATTAATAATACCTATACCTATTCCTTTGCTCCCAAACTTACTTGCTATAGTGCTTCTCACGTAAAAATGCTCGTTAGATGAAACTGAAATAGCCAAAGAAGAATTTGTCAGGTAGATTCGATACAATTCAAGCGGCCATCTTTACCTTAAAAATAAAATTTACTAAAAAATTGGTGGTGCTACGTATCACTGGAACCAACCGTGTGCACGTCTTTGAATGCTATCTTTTTATTTTTGTAATCCTATTTTGGGATATATCTTTAATCATTTGTTTCCTGTTTCAAAAATCTTTCCTGTTAATTTTATGTCTGTTTAATTGAAATGTTTCTATTATTGTATTAACTTCTTACATTACATTAATATTGTAATACTTCTAAATTAAATTATATATGTATAAAAGTATAATATCAAGGTAAAAAGTTATATTAATACTATGAACTACTAAAATACAATCTAAATTTTGATATGCAGTTGAACTTGTCTATCTCAAACATGTGTATTTCAAAATTTACTTTTTCCCCTGCATTTTTAGCCTAAATTCACTATATTTTCCATGTTTATCTCAAATAATTTTCTCCCAAAATTTTATCTCAAATTAAGGACTGAAGTGTCAATTGCAAATTCAAAACTGAGCGACCATTCTCACATTCTGACAACATAAATTGTAGTTGAGAAACGTTTTTTGTAACACAGTACTACATAGTAGCATTAACGTTGTTTTTCTCTGATTGATCACGAGTTTGGCTTGCATCTTATTGGTTGAACAAAGTCAATCACTCTAGTTTATTGACATAGTATTTCTGTTAAGGTATGTCAAAAATGTTTCATTTACACCTAATACGGGTATGTACTGCACTTGCTGTTGTATTAATTACATAGCCGAGTGGTCAAGGTGGCAGCCTACCGCTCTGGTACCATTTCAAATCCGGATGGGTCGAAATGTCCCCAGGAATTGTTCGGGGGTAGTCTGTCTGAATATGTCGAAACCTGTCTATCTGGAATTTTTTTCGATCAGGTTATAATGAGGCAGCCAAAAAATGAGGAATAGGACCCGACATATCTAATCAACCCATCCATAAAAATGTTGCTTATCTGCAACATGAAATACAGTTATATTATTGACATATTAATAAAGTGCTGTTACGATAGCAAAATAATTGACTTTATTATTATATTAATAATATACGGTTTCTTACTTTCTATTTTGAATATTGTTTTATATTAGCATTGAACACATTTTAGATTATATTGGTTATATAGGCTACTGGTTAGCCCGCTTTTCAGTATAACAGATCTGTAGTATATATCAGAGTTTATCGGTGTATCAAATCTGCAATAGATGTCTTTCCTGCATTGCAATAAATGGGAAACGTCTCTTGCACTCAGGCCTATCAAGAGGGGAAACTGGAAATTTTTCCTCGGTCTGGTAAAAACTTAGGGGTTCTTAGTGATTCCTAACAATATAAATTAATGTTATTTTTGCTAACAAAAAATAAAATAGTTTAAGACCGCTTTTTTTATTAATAAACAATCTACGTATCAATATTTCATTTGTTCAAAAGAAAAGACAAAAAAAAAAAAAAAAAAAAAAAAAAAAAAAAAAAAAAAAAAAAAAAAAAAAAAAAAANAAAAAAAAAAAAAAAAAAAAAAAAAAAAAAAAAAAAAAAAAAAAAAAAAAAAAAAAAAAAAACAGTGACATAAGGAGCCCGCTAAAGAGCGAAAGGAATCCGCTCTACCCTAAGGCCCCAAAAAGCTCTCGACGATCTACTCCCACTCGATGGTTGGTTGGTTGGTTGGAGTTTTTGGTACAACAGCAATATAAGCCAAGCTGCGCCATCACCCCCACTCGAACTAGCCATAATAAAATTATGAATGTTCGGATCTTAATAAGGGGGGATCCAATATAAATGTATGAAGGATGTTATATGGTGCAGACGTATACAGTGACATCGTTCAATAAACGAGTTCCTACACGTGATACTCTTAACTCGTTCGAATTGTAACGTGAGTAATTCGAGTCTAAGGATCCAAATTGAATTTTATTCCGGATGTTTAGTTTCCACAGCCTTATTGCGCGGTCATCTTACTGACATTTTACTATTTGAAAATATTCTTGGAACAATCACTAAGAGTTTTGAAAATTATAATTACTATTTCTTTCAATATTTACCTATATTAAACAAACGAAAATTAACATATTTACTCGATAATACTATTTAAAATTTTTTAAACTTTGGGTATTTTTATCTTAAATTCCATTTCTTTTCAGGATAGTGGTCCAAACATCATATTGGAACAACCTCAGGATGTTTTGACAGAATTGTCTGCAACAGATCTTCAAGTTCTAGCCCCGGAAATCCCGAACGACGAAGAGATTCTAAAACAACTTAACGAAACAACATTTGAATTCGATAATTTATTCGCCGATTTTGTTGCAAAAATGGACGAAAATGAATCTCTTCCTTTACTAACCGATTTGGAATCGTTTTGCCACAAAAGGAAAAAGAAAAGAAGTAACGTAATCGATGGACTTCTGAAAACAGAATCCAATTTGCCTTCGTCATCTACTTCAACAGAGTCTCCTTCTACATCATGTGCCTCATTATCATTTGTTCCGTCTACAAAATCTTGTCAGGTGATGACATCTTCATCAGATACTTGTCTTCAGGAGTCTGAATCGTCCGATTCTGGAAGAAGTGGTAATTGTTTTTTTGTTTTATTTCCTCTAATTTTATTTATCATCGCGGATTAGAAATTAAAACTAAAGTTATGGAATGAATTTAAAGTTTAGTAATGAATATATAATTAACACGAAATTTTTCTATTTATTATAAAAATTGATTTACTTCAGGTACAGTACAAATACAGTATTTATTTTGTTAAATACGTAATATATTTCGCCATTAGATGGCGCTATAAAAAATTTTAAAAACTCTAACAAGTAAGATTAATTTTATATATAATCGACAGATGGTGTTACAGTTCAAATATAAAAAAATTACAAAATATATTAATGAATTTAATTACTATTAATTTTATTCGCCTATTAAATAATATAATACACAATTTTTATAATTATTATCATTTTTATAACAAAATAATTGAATTTATAGCTTAATTTGTCGTTCGATAGTAAAATTTAATGAAACATATAACAGATGTTACTTTTTGTATTATATATATTTAAATAATTTAAATATATATATATATATAAGAAATTTTATTTTATATAAGTAAGTATTATTATTATGACAAGTAAAGTTAGTTAGGCCACGAAACACTAGATGGCATTACGCATATTTTACGTCTGGAGGAGTTCATTCACATCTGGCAACCACTACACCAGATGCGTGCTGTACTGACAGAGTTTAGTCAGATGTTTGTCTGCTGTGTCGTAATTATTGAGAAGATCAAAATATCTTCTTTGTTCTTGATACGTGCTTAAAATATACTGAATGTGGATTATTTTATTAATCTTGCAACTTTTTAACTATTGAGAAATTTTATAATATTAATCTTTAATGCAAAAATAACATACGAAATCATTCTTCCAAACTATGGTTAACTATTGATGAAAGATCAACAAAAACAAATGCTGATTACATTTATATATCAATAAAAAACATATCTTTATTGTTTATATTCGGTTTGATGCTCGTTATAAAAAGTTAGGAAGTGATTTTAGTGGGTTAATTAACTTTACAATATTTAGAAAAGATGGTAAAGGAGTATCTAAATGTACAGATTACTCGGTGAAATGAAACCGGGTTCGAATCCATTAGGATATACTTACTCCATTAATAGAAGAACAGTGAGGAAAATATATAAGGAAAAGTAACTCTTATTGATTAATAATAACATTGCAAAATCCTTACTTCCTTGTAATTTTCAAGTTTTCTTTAGAGAAAACAACGGATTCTTTTAAAATAATTGGAATAAAGTACGTTAATTTCCGTTGGACACGAAAGTTTGCATATATAGACTCATTTATAAAATATAAATGAATATATTAATTTAATCTATATTCTCCGTTATAGATTTATATAATATTCATTTATATAGATATTATTATTTAAAAATAAATTTATTTCTAGGAAAATTACACGTCATTAACAATGTTTAGATACCTGCGTGATTAATATACTTAGATTACATTGGCATTCATGAGAGGAGACGGTCCGTTCTAGGAAATATCCTCCGTGTAACTAATAAAGTAACTATGCTAACAAGAAAACCGGAACGTACATTTTTTAGCGGTAATTTTATGTTTAAATTGTGAAATTTTCGGATAATAAATTTGATGCACAGCGATATAAACTCGTTCTCGTAAAAAATCGACCGAATCGATGGCAAAAAATCGCCTTATTTAAATATTATTTGACCTTAATTCCGATTCAAGTTCAATAAGGATACGTGTAATAAATTGAAAAAATATATATACTGTATCTCTCTTTTCCATCGTACATTTATAATTGATAGATTAAAGTTTAAAAAAATAAAATAATTTTGAATGATGCATGGAAAATTTAACTCGGCATTTCTTAGAAAGGGTCAGTACACTTCCATCATGGATACGGAGGGATATCCCCCACCTCTGACCTTGAAATAGTGGACCTGAGACAGGATACGTGGCACCGCCGGATACTTAGTTTCCGCAGGTACATGATGTCATAGAATAAATTTGCTACATGACGGATATCAATAACTAGAATATAATTAATGCACAGTATGAGCAAACAAAAATAGAGGATCAATAAGGTATTTTGAACCTCTGATATGTAAACGGATGAAAGAAATCATTGACCTTTTTTGATCAAGTTCAAGGTAGATGAATCATGTTTTAACGGTATACAGGTGAAAAGGAGCACCTGCTTCTCTTATTAGTTCTGTATTACAACAAAAATATGTCTTTAACATCTATAATTTCCTTTATATAAGGAAAAGTATGTCAGCATTTTTTTTCGTTTCTAAGAAAATTTCATAAACTGACTTTTTTTATTGTCTTTTTTTCTTTTACATTTAAAAAAGTAAAAACTGATAATTTTTTATTTGATAAATAACACTTTTAACTTGTAATTTATTATTTTGTAACGTTAGGAAAATAATTTTAACGTGTTTTTTCCAATTATCATAAGGGCATTTCGGACCTTCTGTAATCAAATTCTGTTAATCAGCTTTGTAATTATTGGTACATCTGTGAGATCTTCACCAAGGGGCCCCATATTGACCTCGGGCTATGACCATGAATTAAAGTTATGCTGCACGTTTTGCAATTATAAATTAATTGACAACCTATTAAATGCCATTCTTTGAACGAAAGCGATTTTTTCAATTGTCTTTGTTTATTGAAGCCAAACATGGGTGTTTTTTCTCTTATTAAGGGTATTTTGCACCAAGCAGGTGCAGATATCTCGAGACTCCTAACCTTAATGAGAATTTATCATTTGTAATGACGGTTGACTATTAGTTGGGTGATAGCCTTTCGTATCACGTGGCAGGTGCTAGAAAACTTCGAAAACGGAAATCTCTCTCAACGATCGAGGAACCGGAACTGTCGCGTCGGAACGACCGTGATTCGCGGAATTTTAAACAGTTCAGAATAATTCTATTTTGAATTCGAGAACATTCTTTGTAAATTCGAGATTCATTCTCAATAGTTCCGGTTGTTCCAATCATTGAGATATTTTAAATATTTTGCATTTATAAAAACGGATCTAAATTACGCCATTGACACTAAAATGAATCGAGCGGCGTAAACACAGTTTTGTTATTATTTCTAAAACTAATTCAAACAAAAAATAAATTTTAAAAATATAAACACTAAATCTAGATCATGTGTTAAAATCCAAAATTCAATCAACAATGAATTTCTACATTTTATTGATAAAAAAAATATATACACATACACAAACAAGCAAAAATTGAAGATGTACAGTACAGCATTTCTGTCCATATATGCGGAAAAATATCAAGTATTTTCATGTATTATATAGTTTTGATGATTATTTATTTATAAATTATGGAATTTTATTGTATTTTATTTGTAGATAACTTTTTCTTTTCACTTTTCGTAACTTTTTCTCGAAGAAAGTATGCGAAAGATAATAGTCAAATCACCACCTGTTATTTCGAGCTTTAGAGAGAGAGTGACGACGCAAAAAAATATTTTCCAGCAATTATCCCAGTGACGTCAGTAAAGTTTGCGGATGTCCACGTCAAGGACAAGCGTTAGAAATGGTCTTTTCAATGTCAGAATTTATTTCCATCTTGCTAACGGATTCGATTTTTAATATTTGTTATATAAACTATTGCAAAAACAGATGCAAGATCATAGTAAACGGTCGCATTTACTATAAAATCGCAAGCTGCATATTTTTCGCGACAGAACATTAGCTGCAAATTTGATTTCTCCCTAATGATTTCACGGCTTTTGTTCTAATCTAGAGTGGTAAGATTTACATCGATTATTCATTAAGATTTCTTGTGTAACTCGTAATTTTCCTTTCTTCTATAATTCATAAATGAATAATCATCAAAACTATATAACAATACGTGTAAATACTTGATATTTTGCTGCATATATGGAGAGAAAGAAAACCAGAAAATAAATAAAAGGAATAACGTTTTACAACAAAATTTTAAATTATTGCGTGCAATGCATTATAATTGCATATAATGAATTCCAATACCTACAACATTAAAGTTTAATTGTAAACTTTAATATTTTGGTAAAAGATGAAAGATATTCTGCTGAAACGAAATAACAGAGCCACATACCTAAGTCTTTAGGTGAAGCAAGGTCCTAAATGCCCGGGCCACGCTATTGTAAATGAATAGACCAGGGGCCATCGTAAAATTCCCCTCCTCCTACCTCAGACAAAAGAGCAAGTAAATTCGCATATCTCTAGGAAATACCGCATTAACGATGATTGTTATAAAGTAATTTTACTAAAATCATTCTCTGCTGAAAAATCATTATACTAAAGAATTACCTATATACATTTGCTATGTAAAAAATAGAAGAAAAAGAACTTATATAACATGACCTATTTTTATCTTCGCGTTTTCCATTTTTGAAAACATTCATTCTATATAGCCTACGTTTACTAACATTTAAAACCGAATGTAATCCGTTTGTAATTTAAAAAAAAACTCAAACAAAAGGAACCAGCTATAAAATATTTATATAATAGGTCCTATATATATATTCTTATAGGGTCTGGTTGTATGTGGTATAGCATGTAAAGTATGTATTAAGGTTATGTTATAAGGAATCCTACCGGGAGCATATCTGTATCTGTAAATGGGTCATGGATAACGAAAGGTTTAAATATTAATTAGAAAGTAAAAAATTTTCAATTGAATTTATCTAAAAATGCCAAATTTTGGGGTGAATATCGAATACCCGGATGTCACGCCAGAGTAAATTTGGACGAATTAAGGACGACATTGGCTTACCTTATCGTCACTTTAACGGCTTCTTGGATCGAATTATTATTATTTTTCTAAACACGAGATTATTATTATATTAATTTATTAACCCCGGATATTATACACTAATTTTAAAGATTAAATACTTTTGGAAAGGAACGTTTTTTTTTCTTTTCACTCAAAAAAAAGTTGTGACAGATCTAAAAATTGTTTAGTAGATTTAAAATTTTGTTGCGGTTTTATATCCATGTGATGACATTGTTTAAGGGTTAAAATAGGTTAGTGTGCCCCATATAAACGGGAAAGTTGCCAAATTTCAGTTGTAGAACCGGGAGTAGATCAGTGCTAATACAGTTACGTTGGCAATATCAATACGTAACAGTTAAAATGATTATAACAAATATTTTTGATTGTGGAAGTTAATAAATATTTCAAATTAGAATAATTGGAATGATTTATTTCGCTCCTATTTACGCTGTTAGAATAACATAAACATTAACTCGGTCGAATAACATTAGCGATGCATATTGGGCCTATCTTTTAATTGATTAAAATAACGTTGTTAGTTATTTACATCGTAAAATAGTTCATTGTTCTGTGTCTATTTGGGGGTATTGGCTGTCTGCTGTTAGAAAATACTCGCAAGCAAAATCGAATTCGCTTTTATTTGGATATATCATTTGAAAAATTACAATTTTCTGGCTTGGTATTTAAATAATTGCGCTTATTTGGTATTAATATTTTTACGGTTAAAATCAATTATCTAATTATAGTTAGGTAGATTCTACGTTGCGTAAATTATCACGATTTTACGGGTTAAAAAGGAATATTTTTTGAATATTTTATGTAGTGTGTGGTATATAGAACTGAAAATCGATGCATGTTTTTTTATTTTAGTATTTTATTAATTAATGTATAGATAATAGAAGTTTTGTTTTCGTGTTTATTAAACTTCAATTGATAATAAATATTGTATTTGCCGTAATAATAAGTGAGATTTAGCGGTTGAGTATTTATTAAACGTTTGAAATCGCAATGGGCGATTACGTGATATTAAAACAATGAAAAGAAATCGCTAGGGTTTTTTCAGGAACAAACGAAAGCAGTCCGTAGCCAACGACCTACTAAAGCAACTTTCTATTAAGAGAAAGTTCTCGTTCTTGACACTGGAGGGCGCCCTCCATTCGAGCGATTCACGGGCCGCCAAACGAAACAAAACGCTCCCAACCTCATTCCGTTTCGATAAGTTGTGTAGAAAGGACGCTGTGTGGCCGTGTGGCGATTCTTCGCACGAGGTTTTTTCTTCGTTAAGTATCGCCCCCGAGGGGTCGATCGGAAGCCTTTCCATCGGTAATAAACGAGGGTGATTTATGTCAATTTAAAGCGGTTGTCCTGTCTAAAAGAGGTGTTACGTCCATCTCTTTCACCACAGAAGATGCCCGAAGATGTGGAAATGGAATTATCAACAAAACAGAAATATACATTTAAGAAGTCTCTACTAAACAGATACCGTAAGTTGCAAGTTCATTATTTCTAGCCGTCGCGGTCGTTTTTACTTCTTTTGGGGGGAAGTTGGACCAGGAAGAGCGAGGGAGGA